CGTCCGCGGGGTGAGGAGCGGGTTTAGATGTCCCTTGCGAGCGGCGGGAGACCTTCGCAGCCCGAGTCTGCAGCCCAGGGCCCACCCCTTGCCTCTACATTTTTTTTTTTTACTTTTTTTTACTTTTATCGCTCAGAGGTTGAATTGAGGTAGATTCTTTGGGTTTACGGAATTCGGCTCTGCGGGCTACAATGCTCACACAAAAACATACTTTGGTTGCTGCTCATAAGGGCAATAGGAATTCAACTCTTAGCACAAGGACAGCTCAGCGCTTTCTATCAACAAGCTCTTCAGGCAGGGTTAGGCTTGTCAAGTGCTGCAGAAGACAAAAGGTTTACAGGGGGAGACCTTGGAGGGGGCTCAGTAAGAGTAAAGCCAGGAGGAGATTTTAATGGATCTGGCCTTGTGCTGAGTGAGTCTGAAACCGGGTGGAGGAAACAGAATGGGAGATCTCCGTTCAGGAGGGGAAAGGAAGGACGCGGGGCTGAGGAAGTGAAAGCAGCACTCACTCTAACAGGGTTCTGTTAGGAATGGCACAGTCGGTCATCAGCATGGTGTGGCAGACAGACTCAAGGTCCAGCTTCCTTGGACACCATAAAGTTAGGATGAATGTGAAATGTAGTGTCCCCAAACTCCTTATCTGTAGTTCTGCACCTGGGATGTAAATCCAGCTTCTCTGCGTCAAACGATCCCCCCTGCTTACTTACATTTTTGGGCCAAGATTAGGATGCTCCATTCTCAATGACACGACATCAAAGAGCAAAGTTTCTTGTAAATTGATATTAGAGGACAATATTTCTTTGCACTATAGCATTGAGTTAGCTTGCAAAAGCAGTTTTTAACCTTCCCAGTACTATAATGTATCAACTGACAAAAATCTAGTGAGCATCTTTTGTGGTCAAAAAGACCTGCAAGTAATAAAAAACAAACAAACAAACAAACAAAAACTTTGCATGGAATATTGTTGGAGCATAGTGGAATGTTTAACAAATGCATTCTTCCTCAATGGGTTTACTTCTTCATGAGTTTCTGACACTAGAAAAGTAAGTTCTGCCCCTGCTTTAAGTACTGACTATTATTAAT